ATGATTAACAGCCGATAACATTTTGTCATCACTACTTCAAATCCTGCTGCTGATTCAGCAGATTTATGTCAATCTGTGAGTGGGCTTGCACTGCAGCTTTCTCCCCCCAACATGTTCACATGGACAAGTACGGGCACAGGGTGCATCTGGTCTCCGCACATTTACCCTATGTGACAGCATGGTCAGACAGGACTGCAGCAAATCCTCTAAAAGACATGCCCTGACAGTGCCAAACCTCTCCGTCGTCTGGCCTGGTCCCTCACCTTCTAGCCAAACCGAGCAAAACAGCTAACTGTAACGCACCCCATGTACCTACCTTCAGTCACACCCCAAATGCTCTCTTCTCCTCCCAGGACTGTGAACTGTTAAGCTCTGCCTCTCCTTGACCAGCTGACAACAGGCCAGTAACACACAGAAGCCGCCGTCCAGTCCCTGGAATGAGAAGTGGGTGGATTTTGGCAGACAATTCCCAATTCACTTTTCAATTTTGTTTCACAGGTTTTCAACACTTACTGATCTTATGATATTATATCATCTATTATTAACTTGCTATCTGGGCAATGTCTGGTTAAAATCTGGTCTGATATTTATTTGAGCAAACATTCCAGTTTCGCGTGGACAATGTTTTTTATTCCGGCACATGTAACCAATGGTCAGTCACCTCCAGGACTGTGGATGTTTTTGCCAGATATTATCAAGCCTTTATCTCTGAATATAGATGAGGCATCATAAATGCAAAATGAAGGGGTAGTAACATTCAAAGGGTACAGAATAAAATATGCTGGTTTATTTATGCATACACTGGCTGTGCATTTGTTTAGATTTTTCTGCTACCCTTCTCCTACACTCAACCTTGGCCAATCAAAATGATTTAAAAAAGCAAGGCCTAGACATCAAAGTTCTCAAGATGAGTTTAAAAAACAAGGTTTTTTATAAAAGAAGTTAACTATAAATTCTATTTGTCTGACCTCAGAACCTGCCCATTGCACACATGTCATAGTTAAACATTTTCTTCTACATCTTTGAGATTATACAAGTTACGCAGATGTATTCAGAATACACATATATTATTTTGATTTCAAAGGTAGATTTTAAAGACTTTCCATTAAGTATAATCATAAATACTACGAAAGACCTTCCATTAGGTATAATCATAAATACTATGCAATCACAACAGCTGCCAGTACTTCCCTTAAGCTACCACAACTTGTGAGCATGAGTTAAAGATTCAGATTTATGAACAGTGTTATGCCACAAGCCCTGAAAAAGCCAAATCCCTTGGAACTTCTTCTGACCCCATTCTTAACACCAAATCTTTAACCCCACCTTTTTTCCCGGCCTCTCAAGCCCCTCAGCAAACAGGTCAGTCTTGCAACATATCCTTAAGGTCATCAACTTACAGTTAGAGCGCTTTTTTCCAGAAAACAATTTGCAGCCAACAACACTGAGGACAAGACAAGGAATACCAACACCCTTTTTATTCCCTGTATTAGTTCTTGACTCCTCCTAAGCAGCAAGACTTTTGTAACTGCATTGTCAACCTGTTCACTTCACAGTTTGTCTCCTCCAAATAGCTTTTGAACTTAAGGTCTGTTTGAATGAAATTGGATAGACAAGGTGATAAAGCTTCTAAAAGTTTGATAAAATCTGGTGACTGGTAAAGAAAAAGAAGCTGCAGGCAGAGAGGGGAAGCTATAGGGGAAGCTATAGCTGTAGCTGCTGCTTTGAAGACCGTAACCAAAGTGAATTTGTATAACATTGCATTTGCATCAGAGGGGACCCTGTTTACACCCAGCAGATAAAAATGAGACATGAATGAAGGCATGACACATTTACATATTTTCCCATCATACGTGGGAGTATTTCTGTTAAATGCAAAGCTACCCCAAAAATTGCAAAATTATTTTTTTTGTTTTTTTGTTTTTTTTCACCAAGGTGTAAAATCAGGCCCACCCTGGTCTGAAGGTATGAGTCATCACAGACTAAAAAAAAAGTAAAGAGACGCTAGCAAAGAATTCTTCTAGAAGCAACTGGAGCCACATGTGTCTCTGTTAGTTGTATTCTTGCTTAGGTGCAGAAACCACAGCAGCTGCAGAGCAGCACAGGCTGCCAGATGGATAAGGTCTTGCTACCTGCATGATTGCCTGAGCTGTGTGATTTGATAACGCCAGCCTGAGGGAAGCGCTACTGCAGAAGGCAGAGAACAGTCAGCTAACACAGCAGTCGTCCTCCCAAGAAATCAGAGATATCTGTTAATAGTTACAGCTATACTTTAGGAAAGGAGTAATTGGTTATTGAATATTATCTCTTTTATTTGTCAGCTCTCTTTTTCTTACCCCCCTAGAATAAAGCTCTGTTTATTAAGCATTTGATACCTTGTTTTTCAAGTGGGGAAAATAAGTCACTTTTTGGTGTGTTCTCCCACATTTCTGGAGAGAGGTTTAAGGAGGCTGTTTATTACCAGTTCTTTAAAGTTTGAATACGGATCACCTCTTACTGTTGCAAGTCAAGCCTTGGTAAAAGTCATACAGATAAACAAGCTTTGGACAAGGCAGTCAAGAGAAATGCCATGTTAGGATAAATATTCCTATTCCTGCCAGCTATCTGTTTATAGAAATAGCTTCATTAAAACAAAACACAAAACCCGACAAGCAATAAATATAAAAACAAAATAAGTATTAAAAAAGATATCAAACTGGATGAGAAATGATAAAAATACATTATACTGACTCAAGTACAACCAATATTTAATTAACTGTGCCTGGAGTGCTTGTCCATGCTATACTTTAATAATAGAGTCCAATCTTTCTTTTCCAAAGAAATCAAGGACAAAATTCTCTACTGTGGGAACAGAATCTTACCTTTACTTCTGCAGTCAATTTGGCAGGAATTGTACATTTTCTACTGTTTATTCATAGTGTTTCTATTTCATACATAAAAAGTACATAAGCCACTGTCAAGAAAATGATCGGTGTCACAATGAACAGCACAGAACAAAAGGAGAAAAAAAGAACAAACAATCTGCAAACAATAGAAGACTAAGGGAATTATGTTATAAATTGCCTAATCTGATGCCTTTCTTCAATATGACTGCCCATTTGAAAAATTAAACACTATTGTAAGTAATGAATGGGGGTAAGATTTGGAACACAGCAATGATGTGAATATTATTTTTAACTGATGAGATGTATTTCAAATGTCTTTGATTATTTATACAACACCTATTTCACCATTTTTTTTTCAATCTTCCAGAAGAAATTCTGAATTATTATAATGCAACATCATAAAAACATAAACAAAAGAAATCATAGAATCATAGAATGGTTTAGGTTGGAAGGAACCTTAAAGATCACCTAGTTCCAACCCCCTGCCGTGGGCAGGGACACCTCCCACCGAAGATTGCTCAAAGCCCCGTCCAACCTGGCCTTGAACAGCTCCAGGGATGGGGCAGCCACAACTTCTATGGGGAACCTGTTCCAGTGCCTCATCGCCCTCATTGTGAAAAAATTCTTCCTGATATGTTTTCTAAATCTACCCTCTTCCAGTTTGAAGTCATTACCCCTCGTCTGATCACTACATGCCCTTGTAAAAAAGTCCCTCTCCAGCCTTTTTGTAGGTGCTCTACTGTATCAGAACAGTAGTTCACCCATCCCAGTATTCATCTCTCACAGTGGCAAAAGAGAATTGTGGTTAGGAGAAACATCTGACTTGCCCCCTTTCTCCAAACCATTCCCCTTGTACTTTTCCAGTACCCTGGATCACTGTACTAGGAATTTAAAAGAGTACTTATCTGCTTAGTCCTTCTGGTATCCACTGAAGTACCTGTTATCTGTAAACTTTTCTAAGCGATTTCTGACTCTGCTGATACTGTCTGCCTCCACATCTTTCTGAGGCAACAAGTTCCAGAAGTTCACTACCCATTGCACAGGTACTATTTTTATCCATTTTAAACTGACTCACACCAGTTTTGAGTGCCCCCCAGTTCTAATCTTGTAAGATTCTCCATTTAGCTTATCTGCTACCAGAGAACTGTTAAGTGTGTCCTGAACTAACTATAAAAGAAAGCCAATACTTCAGCTCTATGCATTTTAAAATGTGATTTCTTAAACAGCAGACATGCTAAAACTTGGATTTTTTAAAATAAGGATTAATAAAATGAGGTAAGGGTTAAGGATGATTACCCATTATATTTCCCAATGTTTCTCACGAAAATAAGTCAAGGAAAAAGTACAAAGTCAAACATGTAAACCTAAGTCAATTATACAGCTAGCACCTTTTTCTATGAAAAGCTGATCAGTATTAAGCCAGTCAATCCCATTCTGTGTACCAGTCTGAAATGATGTAAAGCTGATAGAAGTCCGCTGTAAATTTTCTCGAGCTGGAAGAGCAGCAGGTACTCACTGTAGCAGAAGCTACAGACCACCAGTTTGCAAGTGCACCTTGAGCTACATCCCTTTTCCAAATCTGAGTGATTTCCATGTTTCCCTTTCACTAGTTCTCTGCTAGGTAAGGATTTGTAAAAACAGGGATGTAGACACAGCCATCACTCGACCCCAAATACTTCAGCATATTTTCAGTTCAACTGTTTTTACAGTAAACAGAAAACCAAGATTGCATAATAGCTGCATACATAAACTGGACCTTCTTAATGCCAGGCTCAGCAGCACCCTGTTAGAAGCTAAGTATTTTTCATAGTAAAACACTATTGCACAATGCCTGCTTAAAGAATTATAAACATAGTCTCTTTGATGGGCAGTTCAGAGAGTATTGTAAGGCCTACTTTCCTCAAAAATCTGCTCAATCACTATATAATCATTTACTTGCTGTTTGCAAACTTTAATCCAGGGTCAAGGTAATGGCCCTCTGACACAACACTTAAATTTATACAAAACCATGCCTTTCTAGCATTCATTTATAACTTCAGTGGGCTACTCTGATTTAAAAGCAGACTACTGACTTTATCAGAGCATGGGCAGAAGTGATCTAACACTGCAAACAAAATGCTGCTTCTAGCTTCAGCTCTTCTTCTAACACTGCTGCAGTGCTCTAAAGCCCAAAACAAAACAAGCATTACACCTGCAGACTGTAATACTGTTGAAACAGATGCAGGAGTGGCCCTGGATTTGGTCAACAGACACCGCAGAGATGGCTTTGTCTTTGGTTTATTCCGTGTTGCTGATGCACACAAACTACATATAGTAAGTATCAATTTAAAGGCTGGTTTACACAAGACTGTGATTTTAAAATAATGAGCATGATCATTAAAAGCTTATGTTTATTGCTTTTAACAGAGAAATGTTGATGCAATTCAATGAATCAGCTCTGACTTACACTATCTCAGTATTCATTTGTGCATGATTTATTGTACATAAGCTTGATTTCAAAAGACACTGAATGCCCTCTCTTCTCTTGGCTGACAGGATGTTAGCAGAAGAGATGCTCTGAACAGCTTTATACAACACCAGAAATTAATCTATCCGGTCTGTTGTCATGTCTCAGATGTTATGTTCAAAATCTACATTCAGACGCTTCCTTTAACCTGCGAATGTCTAACATTAATTAGATCAATGTATCCTGCAAGATCGGTATTTTGTTATTATCTTAATTTTGGAGACAGCTGGATAACTGGATGGAAGGGGGAAATGGCAGAGGAAGCCAAAGGAGAGGAAAATGCCATTCTGCAAAACAAGGGAAGGGCTGGATAGATAATCCATATCAGTAATTTCCTATTTCCTTCCTATTTCTATTTCTGTTTCCTAGAGAGGATACATAAGCCTTTCTCAATGATTGCCTAAATGCCAAAGCAAATCAATAGCAGAAAAAGCAATAGAATACAAAATTTCTTTAACTAGTAGATAAAAGAGACCGAGGACATGTAGATTTACTAATGCACCTGGCTACCTTCCAGCTGCTTGGCTATGAAACTAGAATCCAGGCACACATGCACTGTTTAAGAAATGTGTAACACATTTCAGGATGGCAACTGAAAAAAAGGGCTGGTTTTTGATGGATCTGCCTGTTAGGACAAGAAAAAGCTCAGAAGGTGACCCAAAGCTGAGATTCCTACAGGTCTTCAGGTATACTTTCAAAAAAACCTGATTGATTATTTTGCTTTTCAAAGACAAGGATGTGGCAAGTGATACTACTGGGTTTTATGCAATAGCCAGGTAGTGAAAGAGCGCATCTGGGAAGCAATCAGTCTTCTTCAGCAGTAGGAGATTTAAACCCTCAAGTCTCCCGTCTTTGAAGAATGCTGCTGCCATGCAGCGATGTGTGTGCCACCCCTGTGAAGCAGAGCCACTGGGCAGTAAGACATGCAATATTTATTGGATGAATGAGAAAACCCATATTTGTTTATAAAAAGAAAAATCTCACTGTTTCTACATTTTAACCAATTATTAACTTATTGACAGTATAAACTATAGAACCATAACTTGGAATAGGGACCAGAGCTGAGGATTCACACTTCCAGATGAATGCTATAGTCACTAGACTACAATGCTTTTGTTTTGTTTTGTACCCTTAATGAATTTTGCTGTCTTTGAAGTCCAGGACCACAGCTTCAGCTATCACATAGAGTCTACAAGAACAGAAAAGAGCCTTCTGTCTATCTTACAGCTAAAGAATTTTCCCTGTAAGGTCTCTGTACCTTCTCAGACCCAAAGCCACCAGGTGTGGTCTCCTGCATACTTATCATGTACGCTACGGTGCAAGAAGTTATGCTGGCTCCGCTGCCAAGATGACATTAAAAAAAAATAGTAATAGTAATAGTAATAATAATAATAACAACAACAATAATAATCCCTAGAACATTATTTTTACCATCTCCATGCGATAGTGTGCATCAAGCCTATCACATCAACCCTCTTAGAAACTTAAGAAAAGCAATTCCTAGCAGCGGGATCTGGAGTTCTAGAAGCATAAGGTACTCGACTATTCACACTAGAACAGTTCTGGGCTTCTGCAGTGCAGAGCTCTGGTGCCCAAGATGCTTTTAAAACAACCAAGGCCGCACCATATAAGCTTTTTTTCCCCAAGGGCTATCCAGCAGACAGAAGAATTTTCTACTGCATATTTGGATGTTGACACTTAATTTCACCCAAGCTCTGCTTTAGGCTTTTTGAATCCAAATGCATCCTGCTGAAGAAAATAAATATTTGTCACGCATGAATTGGCTTCTTCAGCATTTCACAAGTTTGGATGACAAAGTGAATGTATTTAGTCATTTCAGCTTCAGAGGGCTCCTAGTGAATAGCACATTTTACAAAAGACTATCTTACCCGTCTTACCTTTCCATTCAGTGCAATTCCATAAATACAAATCAGAAAAAAATAGCCTTTCTTACTGTCTTTGTTCTCTTCTCTGTCTGCATTTTATTAATGTGTTGACTAGCAGCTTGAAATTATTGGGATTTATAAAATAAAATAGAGAAACTAACTACCCCTAAGCAGAGAATAATCACACAGCTAGTGGGCAGGATGGGTGTCCAGGACAACTCTATTCTTTTCCTGATTCAGCTATTGAATAACATGTCTCTTTGCGCGAATCATCTGGCCCCTGTTTTAAAAAGAGACAATGCTAAGACATAAGGATACTGCAAAACTAGTGTTTAACATCACACTGATGGACTCTCACTAATAAAAATATTACACTAGACCGCAGTAATTCTTTCTCAAGGTCTCGTCTATACAGAAACACTCTGAAAAAGGACTATGAATGGATGAAATTTCATAAAACCTGAGGACATTTATTCACAGTGAAAGGCTTTGCATCATTTTATCTAAATGACAAAATAAAATACGTCTGTGCTCATTCTGAATGTCCATACAGGGGTTGCATGAATTTTAAATAATCCATTCCAAACGTGAATTGAGATTCATTTTCTTGCAGAAAAATACAAAACCATTTCTGTGGGCCACAGATAATTCTTAACACCACATCCCATTACACTGGCAGCCAAATTCAAATTCTGATTCTCCATCTTATTTGCTCAGAACATACTAGAATTTCAGAGTTAAAGCTACTGAATTTGTAGAGATTATTACAGCTTTGTTGCATCACTCCCTGAATAAACTGAGCAGGAAGCAAAGTTCTGAAAGAGTATCTGGTCACTGAGGTCATTTGAAGTGGCTGTAGCTATATTACTGGCTGCCTGGACAACTGATTTCCTAATAGACCAATACGTTCTATGTGAAAATCAGAAAGAGGGACTGGCAACTTCTTAACACTGGCATTTTCCCTACTTGATAGATGCCAGACTCTTTCCACAGGTTCTCAACAAAAGGATAAGAGGCGACAGCTATAAGTTGTAGGAAGGAAGTACAACTAGTAGACTAGTTGTAAGGCCCCCAAAAAATCATGGAAAAAGCAGTTAAGTACTGGAACAGCCCAGAGAGGTTGTGGAACATCTGTCTTGGTGATACACAGATATATAGATTCAGCTGAATCTAACTTTGAACTTAGCTTTACCTTGAGCAAGTAGCTGGACAAGATGATCGCCAAGGTCCCCTCCAGCCTAAACCCTTTCCACGTTTGTCAGCTCAGAAAAACCTTAATAGGGAACTGGGGAAGCTACATTAAAGATTAAACATATCTATTGCAAATAAAGCTTCTTTCAGATCAAATTTCTTGCATACAAACTCATTTTTACCTGCACTTCTCTTCCAGGGAAATTCATCAGTCCTCTACTTAACCTTGGACGTGCTGGAAACTGAATGCTCTGTATTATCCAGAAGACACTGGGAGTCTTGTGAATACAGTGACACCTATTCCATGGCAAGTAATGGCACCAGGCAGAGTCATACATCAATAATGCATTAACTTGATCTTCATCTGAACTGCACGGAAATTCCTGTGTCACAAAACTCTAAGTGAAGTCTAGGCTTTAATATGGCTTACTATAAAATAAAATCTATTGGGTTCTAGAGTTGTTAAACATAAGCTAAAGGTTTGGAGAAGGGCTGACTCCTCAAATAAGTGCAGCTACATTTAACTGGTTGTCTCAAAGGAGCTATAGTCCACATTACACTGCTGGTAGCAGTACTGATGTTTTAAGAATAATTTGCTGACAACTAAAGGGCACAAGAAATGATTTTTTCAAGCATGTTCCTAGTATATTAGCCAGAAATACCAGTGTTATATTTTGTCAGGTTTTGGTCATAGCATTTGTGGAATGACAATGCGAAACACTGGTGGTGTCAGAACACATATGATGTGTAGCAATACTTGTCCTTCCTTGCTGCAATCCAATGATGCAGTCTGGGATGAGAACTACGAGTCCAAAACTTCATTTAAATAGGAGAATGGTAGTACTACCACACAAGACAAAGCAGGAGGGCCACGAGGAGAGAAGAGAAGGCATTTACACTTTTTATTAAGATGGGGGAAATGAATGGAAGGAAAGGTCCATCCGCTTTTTGATAGATTTATGTAACCTTGAGTATCTCTGGCACCCTAACTTCCCCCGCTAGCTAGTATTATCTTACTGTAAGTAATTATTACAATGACTGTGAAGGCTGGTTTAGTTCTCCATTGTCTACTCAGTCATGCAAACCGAGAATTAAAATAAAGGCTCTTGTAGAGGGAGATCCCATTTTAACTGAACACAAATTTTGACTGGTACCAGATCAAATATTCCATTAATGACCACATCTGTTATTCTTACAAGTACTGTACATTAAAAGGAGGCATAATTACGATGATCACCTACATCCAATTAAATCCAGTGAAAATAACATCATAATCACGTATTCTTTTTTTCTCTCAGGACTTTGGGCAATGTAAGATTATCACATATACAAGCCAGCTGCTGAGGAAACCTCAACTATATGGATTTAATTGTACATTAAGTCCAGGTAAAATAACCACTGTTGCGAGCCAATGTATACCTCAAACCAGCCCCAGTACCAAATTACAAGTCTGTGCACTACTAGTGTATGGTAACTGTAACAGATTAAATCATCTGCTTGCAATTCATATTTTAGATAATTCAAATGGAATGTTAAGAATGAGTAATAGAATTAAGGTTATCCTACTCTTCTAAAGCAGACCTTATTAATATCAGATGGTACCACCATTCCAGTCCACCAAAACACAATAATGAATATGAGAAAAAAAGTAAACTTGGAAAGAATGCCCTTTTGGAGTGCTAAGATCCTAAGGTGGAGCTAAAAGATTTGTAAGAATATTCATCTTCACAGGTTTGGGGTTTTTTCATGTTACAGAACAGACCCGTGTTTGTGGAGTGAGGGATAGGTATTTCACTTCCAATGAAACGCTTGCATTTCAGTTTCTCATTATGAGTTCACATTAAAGGTACATGGACACTCCCAAGAGTATTAATATCCATTGCAATAGAAGTAAATTATCTGTTTGCACAGTTCCCCCTGATTTATTAGAGTGCAAAGATTGTCCTGTGAAAGTTGAAGTCTTAGAAGTCACCGAGCAACATAAAAATATTGCTGCAAAGGCCCTGGAGAAATTCAATAGAGAGAGTAACCACACAAACTACTTCAACGTGGACAAAGTTGAAAAGATTTTAAAGATGGTAAGTGGCATTTTGTCCTAGAATTACTGCTAAATGACAAAATTTTGTGAGCAGCTCCAAAACCACGGGACCAGAACTCAAACCCTTCTAGGACCAGAACTATTGCTTGTCACCTCTCAGTGTAAATCATCTCTTAAAATTGAAGGTCGTACTTCTGCAAAGACTTGTTATCAACTTTAATTTAGGCATGTGAAAGCAAAAGGATTTCTCACCTGCTGAAAACTATGGCAGTGTGATGGCATACAAAATGTCGGAGCCTTCCTTATGTGCATATTTTTATTTTGAATGCCTATTGACCTATCATATCATAACATACAAGAGTTTATTTACTACTGACCAGAGTTCTTCAATATGTACAGCCATGCATATTATCACAGTCATACATTCTGTCAACTGAAGTCAGATAATTTTTTACTCTTAGAATATTTAGCACATGGGTACAACACAAAGTGGAACACGCTCAGCATCATTTTGACTCTCTGCTGCAGAGCAAAGCAGCACTGTGAGAGCTCTGAAGGACAGGAGGTTTATCTATGCTGTACCTCTTGAAGAACTACTGGCTCTGGTAAATAACTCCTCCATCTTTGAGTGATGTCTACATGAAGACTTATCCTTTGGGTGATTGGAAGAATAACTCTCACATCACCACAACTTCTTGTTGGTACATACTCGAGACCTTCACTTAAACAGCACAGGATCATTCTGCCAACATATGTCAGTTCAGGACACCTCTGTAATGAAGTCCCATGGCCATAATATATGTTGATCTTGGCAACTGCCTAAATTATAGCATGCCAGTCCCACCTCCCTGCAGCTTTTAATATTGCTCAGAAACTTGACAGTATTCTACACTGTAGTGCCATGCAGGATGTATCCCTACCCCCTTTTAGCAAGTGGCTCTTTTCAGATTGCCTGGATTCATGGATTTCTCCCTAAATGCTTTGTCTTCACACTTGGCCATCTTTAGCTACAGAGCCAATTTAGATTGTACCACTGGATTTCAACAGACTGCATAACACTTAGAAACTACGAATTATGATAAAAAAGTATATCATAAAGTATGTGCATCCACTTTTAACCAATTTAGTTAAATTAATGAAACTTGTGTGCACACACATGCTATGGACACCTTCAACACAGAATTGAAATAAACTACTACTACAGCTGGAAATTAAAATCAAACACCTCTATGGATTTTAACACGATCACAAAGGCCTTCTCCCATGTTCTTACGGAGTAATGCCTTCTCTATGAATAATGCCACTGACAACAGAGCAATCAACAATCTCACAGTAACTGGCAGAATGTCATCCCAAGTCAACATCAGCAATGCAGTACTATGCACTCCCATAACTGGAAAGGGGTGGTTGCCATCCAGTAGAACTTTGTATTTTCACAGAAGCAGCAGTTCAATTTACAGAGAAGACTCTAAGGATGCTACTACCTAAAAACACAGGCTGTAAAAGTGTCCTGGTTTGAGTGACACAGGACTAATTTCTCTTCTACTGCCTGGGAAAACTGCACTTTTAGAAGACTCTAGTGTCTGAATTTGTGAAAAGATTTACTTTATAGCCAGCTATGGTGCGTGGGTTTCAAGGTCTCAGTGTTTTCGAGCTCACCAGGTGCAGGGACAAGGAGGAGTGAGACCCGGGCCCTTGACATAAACTGACCAACAGGATTATTTCATACCATGAAACACCTCACATTCAATATAAATTAGAAAGTTTGTTGTGAAGTACTCTCTCCCTTAATGGCTGTGATGCAGAGGACTTCTTTACCCCAGTGCTGGACCCCTGAGCCCTTCCTTTCCTCTCAAAGCCATAGTGCTCGCAGTGTCAGACATTTGCTGTCTACTGCTGGGAGTGCACAGCTTCTACTGCCTGCTGATACAATTGGCTGAGTATAATCCTTGCATATTTTAGATTGGTATCAGGATCAATATTGGTTCTTTAGAGCTATTAATGTGAATTATCTAGTCTTATTCTATTATATCTGTTTATATTTCAACCCCCAGGTTTCCTTGTTTTTTCCCTGATTCCCCTTCCCGGCTGGGGAAGGTGTCATCAAGTGATAGAATAATTGTCTAAACAACAGTAAATTGTTGTGGGTTTCTCAAACCGTAATAAAAAGTATCATTTTTATAACATACACATACTAGACAAAGAAAGAAAGCAACCATTCCTGGAACTCATAAAGGTGAGGCAAGTAAGGTATAAATTATCTAATCTATTTTCCTCACTGTATATGCGTATATGTATGAACATCTAAACAGCACAGTTAGTGAAAACATGAGGTAGACAGGTTTTTCAACAATATGAAGTATGGTTGCTTTTAAAATTACAGGTTTTTAAGACACCTAGTTACCTCTTCTTGTTTGACCTCTTGGTTTCAGACTGCCTCCCATGAAGGTTACATCTTAGGATTCTCTATAAAAGAGACCAACTGTTCCAAATCTGCACAACAAACAGACCAGGCATTGGAATGTGATTTTCTGGATGACTGGCACACTGTAAGTAAAGTCTTGGAATGACGACTGATACAATGGGTGGCACCAGAAAGATCTTCCCACTATATTTCCAAATGTTTCTAATAAGGATGCACCCAAACTCAAAATTAAAAATCCAGCACGTCAAAGTCCAGATCCTAATTTTACAGCTGCTCCTTTTTATTCTGTAAGGAGCCAATCTGAACTCTCAAATCTGACTGGAGTCTGGCATATTACAGAGCCGAGCTTTTCAGTTTGGATCTGGCTTTCACATTCAAATTGTGGTCATTCCCTAGTAAATCATTCATGCTATTTGCATAAAAACTTGTACACGAACATGAGTCATAGATCTTGAAAAAAATACATGCATTATGTCATCCCAGTGAGCCCAGGGTTATTCTTTTTTTCCTCTGCTGCAAGGGAATGGAGAGTGGAATAATTCAGGCCTGCCTGCAGATTACTATCAAAGTACTCTCCTCACCCCACCTTCCCATTACAATTATAGTCTACACCAAAGAAAAAACTAGACAAGATCATACTTTCAGAATAAATTATTCCCCAGAAATGAAACTGAAGGAATGAAATAAAAATATGGAAAAAATAAAACATGTAGAACTTTTATTTTATCTACATCCATTTTCTTCTCTGGCTCTTTATACTCCAGAATATTGGAAAAGGTTGTGAACGAACTGGTAGCGGAGCCAAAAGTTCACTAGAATGAAGCCCAAGCCAGATAGCCAGAGGTTTTGAATTCTGTTCTCAATGCTGCCATCACAGGGGTGTGTGTATAAAATGCTGTTAACATTTGTAGTCATTGATCATAATAGGCTACTAACAGCCCAAACATATATCAAGATAAAGCATCCACTACAGAGAGCATACACAGAACCCCTCACCCAAGTTCTGTGCTCTTTCACACGAGCAATTCCACACAAAACAACTGGACAGCAGGTGAAAGTGACAGCAAACAGGATGCTAAGGGAAGTAATGCAAAAAGATTACAACAGTACTTTTTAAAAAATAAATATGGGAGGAAGCTCTACCTTGAGCTTTGTGTGAAACAGTATAGCTACAGCGTCTGTTTTTGAGGACTTTGAGCTAAATTTCAGAACAGCCCCATCTGAACAAAAGTTTGGCAAGCAAAGACACAAAAAAAGGAATAAAAATCAGTTACCCACAGGGTACTTGTTTTGGAGACATCAGTACCTGACCAATTTCTTACAGACATCAAAAGAGAAGTAAGATGGAGAGTAGTAGTCCTCTGGACACACATGGCAAAGTGGTCTTCACAGTCAAGAACATTCAAAACTGGCCTATATTTTAATCATTATTAGTCACTGGCAAGTATCACTGGTCAGAAAGCTCAGGATCTAGCTAAGTTATGTAAATATACTTAGGTATCAAAGGAAATAGCCTAACTTTCAAAATGGTGAACTTTTAGTTGCTTCTATCAACTCCATCACAAGAACCCAGATGTGCATTGTTTTTTACCTTTTCTTTTGCTTAGCACATGGGATTCTGCAAGGCAAGAATGATCAGTGATCCAGATGAACCTGATAGAACAGATATAAGCTGTGACATCTACCATCCCTGGGTATGTACTCACGTATTGCAATGTCTCTGGCTATATCCTCCTCCAGGCTACACCAACCTCACTTAGTCCGGACTGAGATGATTGCAACGGTTGTTTATACCCCTTTATTATTACCTGGGTGTGATGCAGCATATCAGGACAGACTGGCTTTTGACTGCTAAGTAATCAGAGGATGAATTCAAATCGAGCTGTCCCTACTACTGCTTCCAAGGGTGTCTTTTCTCAGTCCAATCATACTCCCTAGTTAAAGTGAGTAGAAATTGGCAAACAAGCTCAAAGGAATTTTAGAAAGCAAGAAGAGGGGAGATGATCTTTATAATATTTGGTATTCCCATCCATTTAATAACAGCTACTCCAGTGTGGGGTTTATTTTGTTTTGACTCATCACAAATTTTGCTCAGTTGATTATATGATTTCATTTTGTTATGGTGTAGTATTTCCAGATGATTTTCAGTAATTTGGCATTTTATCATCTACTCCATCTCTTCTACCTTGAAAAACATCACAGGTTTTGTTTCCTTCAGATCACCAGAACTGTAAATGCAAACCTACTAACTCCCACCCCTCTCTCTTTCTCACCACTTTCTTCTGTCCTATAAACGTCTCACATAATACTTCCTCCCCTGGTGTTTTTATGAACAGCACCATCACTATGGGCAAAGATGCAAACATTCAGCTCTGAGACAGCCACACAGACATCCCCATCCCCATCACAGGCATCGTCACAGGCATCGTCACAGGCATGGATGTCCACTGTCTTCTCAATCCACACCTGAAGACTCTGAGCATAACCACAGTTTCAACACAGAACATCAAGACAGCCATGAAGGACCTGCTCTTTCTCTTCGCCCCCATGGTGAACCACATCACCACCTTCACCCTCCACACCACTGTCCTCCACCTCTTCCCCATGGTGGACCACATCACCACCCTCCTCCTCCCCATGATGGACCACATCCTCCTCTTCAAGAGGAACCACAACATCCCTTTTCTGCTCCTCCTCCCCACAATGAACCACATCATTCTTCTCCTTCCCAAGAGGAATTCCATGATCTCCCTTCTTCTTCTCCCCATGATGAACCACATAATCCTCCTCTTGGTCCCCATCATGAACCACACTGTCCTCCCCCTCCTCATGGACCACATCGCCACCACCCTCCTCCCCATCATGGACCACATCACCGTCCTCCTCCAGGCCACCCTCGTCATCTCTATCATCACTATTACAGACATCACTGCAACAAGACAGGCAAATCAGGAAAGTACTTTCCATTCCAAATAACAGGAGCTGTCTATCGCATTCCAGTTCTAAATCAGCAGGATTCTCTCACACCTCCCACTGCAAAGTTTCCTGAGCTATCCGAAAGCAGCCCTCACTTCTCCAGCACTGGTGAAGGTATTCCCTTAACTGGCTCAAGTCTAAAGGAGGTGCCAGAAGCTCTGGGTTTTCCAGATCACCCTACACAATCAAAGTCATGCCCAGGAAACCCCAAATTTGTTCTTCCAAAAATTTTGCCTTTATTTCCACACAGCTCCATGTCAGAAAATTCTCCCACGTGACCTCAGAGAAAGATGTTCCTAGTTTGAGAGTTGCGGGGCCAATGACAGTTGTAGAATGAATGAAAACAGCACACGGAGAAGGGGGAAAAGCATACAATTTCTAGGAAGAAGCAGCACTGAAAACAATGATTAAGAAAATTATTCCAACCTGCCTCTTGATCCCAGCCATCTCAGACTCCACTGTAACTGAAAGGCTCAAAATTCTGAATTCCTCAGACAATGTGAATGGATATAAAATTCCCCAGCAAACAATGCTCCTTTAGTTGTAACAAAAAGGAAAATTCCCTGATAGTGAAAACTACCATCTAACATCTTTAATTTTCTCATCATTCATAATTATAATATACTTTTCTGAGGAAATCTGACCTGGAGGAAATTTCACCGCCTTCCATAAAAAACAATCCATGGCACTACATTCATGCTTTGTAAAGATTCAAAGAAAATAAAAATATGTAAGAATTTTATTTCTTGACCCAGTTGCCAGAGTTTTGTCTTTTTTGTTATTATGGATGTTTAGCTGCACAGTAAACACCAATGAGGCATACTCTAGCCTAGCATAAATTGACTAATGGTGCTTGGGTTACCTCCATTATCTAGAAAAGGTCTGACAATAGTTAATTACTTGTAGCGTAACACTGCAGGGTGGCCTGCCCAGGTACTTCCATTGCTACAGCTGCTGGCGGTGATATACCAGAAATACTGCGTTCAAGGACAGCCCTTTTCAAATAGTTCGTAATTGCTCTCAGGGGAGGAGAAAAGCAGATGCATGTAATAACTCTTTCATGTAAATGTTTTCTTTATCACTGAACCGTCCTCACTGGAAACTAAGTTGGGCGGAGCAGGAAGAAAGAATACTGGTGCCTCTTTATGCTCTAGCCCCCATCAAGGTAAAATGCATTTAGACAGACCTGGGACCCCAATGAGTTAGTTCACAACAGTTATCTCATAAGCAAGAACGTAGGATTAATCTCAAAAAAGTAGCAAATTGATCCTCAAAGTAGCTTTTTAATGGCATAAAGTAAAATACAGTGTGAGGGCTACATTGAAGAAAAAATAAAAAAAAAATGGGGACAGCATTTTGTGTGACTGAGTGAAGATTGTCTAATTTTTGAAAGTGCATTATCATGTACGAACAACCTTATTTCCGGCATAGTTTATCCACAAAGTCTCTAAAGTGCTTTTTCTTTAACCAAAACTTGTAGCAAGACACAACTGGAACACTGGAGCTGAGGCAATCCCAAGGTGCTCACAGATTCAAAGCAAAGCTATTTGGTGTTCAACACTGGAGACAAGCACCAGATGTTCCCAGCCAGCTCTAATTCTGGCTCTGCCAGACACAGCCAACATTACTTAATCCCTTGTGCTTGGGTGTCGTTTTCCCTATCTGTAACGATAACAAAACATTATGAATATTGACTAATCCATAGTCCAAAGGCAGTCTCCACATGGCAGTGAAGATGGACACTTCCAATAGTAACGTGAAGGACAAGGTTTATCAAGTGTTACTGAAGAGTTATGTGACGTTCAATGATACGCATCTTTTTTCAAACATGTTCTGACTTCTCGTAACTGTTGTGGTCTGAACACTAAACAGATCTATAAAATTTACAGAGTTGTTGTCCAGAACCAGAACTTCATTGGCACTGTGCCCTTCTTGGGTATTTTATCTAAGCCTTCTAAAATTCATTCTCAGCAGCTGTTTAGATGTTAAGAAAAGAAGCCAAAAAGCTACAGACATTCTGCTTTCTCTTCTGTTCAGCGGCCATCCTGCTTAGTCTAAACCTGTCCCCAGCTGCAGCCATTTAGTCTGTTATCTTGATGGCAGGTGGATAACCTTAGTGTCATTCTGGTGACCACACAAAGTTTATCTAGATAAACTCAGAAGTTTATTTGCAGTATAAACAGGGTATGATGAGAACCAACCAACCCCAACAACCTACTCACTCTGTTTACTCAGCTATTGCTCCTGAAAAACAGAAGAGGTGACTAAAACCCTCTCAGGCATTCTTTTTCCATTTGGTTTTTAAAGAGCCTTCTAATTCAGGGGGCTTTTTTTCTCCAATTATGAAACCTTTTATTGTACTCGTATTCTGCTGTAGTTTTTTCTCTAGCAGAGCCACCCCTCTTCCATTTGAGTTTTTGGACTGTGATGACCCTGATGTCTTTAAAGCTGTCGACACAGCACTGAAGAAATACAATGGAGACACAGCAACTGGTAATCAGTTTGCTCTATACATGGTGATGGAAGCCAAGAGAACTGTAAGTAGACTTTGCAAAACAAAGAATGTTGGAATTGCTTATGCACTCTGAATCAGATTATCTCCATCTTGTTCATAACAGAGCAAGCATGACAGCAAAGTGTCTTCCAAAAACGTCTTAAAAAAAATCAAAAAAATGGCTTGCACAGTAAGATACTTGTTACCATGACAAGCAGGATGTATATTATTTTCTTATCAAGGGAACTATGTGTGCTGGTAAATTGCTTATTAATGTAAGGACTAAAGAATAGAAAATTTCTGTCACTAATAGAATTTGTCTTACTAGTCCACTCTGTGTTCTCCTTTCTTTGTTGGGAATTCTACCCATTTCCATCAGTAAGGTTTTCAGACCAATGGCAAAAACACACTTACTAAAAAATCTAAATATTATCTTGACTTAGGAAGAGCTGGTTTCACACATAACAAAGAATGACCTGATAAAATTTGGCAATACTCTGAATAAATTGTTTGTGAATATTATTGGATTGACACTAGTCCTGAGTCACAGATCTATCTAAAAGCACTAGGTGGTATTTTAGTCAAATAGGGTGACAGCTAAAATTACAGAAGAAAAAAAAGAATGAAACATGATCCTTTGCCTGGAGTCCTTCTGTATAGTGTTAATCTAACAAAAGAGTATTTACCTCTGAGAGGCATACAAAGATGATATTACCATAATAATGACAAGCATTACTTTACTTGAAAACAACATTAGCATTCTTTTCTACTGGATTGGATTTTCAGATGTAAAACACAAGAAACCCAGTGTCAGAGAGAATATTTCACACTCTAAAATCACAAAACACTTTTACCCAGATAGAAATTGACCTCAGAAAGGGGACACGAATCGCTAAACACCTTACAATAAACTACCCACATCTCCTGGCACCTACCCTCTGGGTATCCTGTTTTCAAACTAAGGAGATTTTTAGCATGTAGTTACAAAGACTAAAATCTGGCAAACCCTTTGCACGATTAAAATGAAACAAATGAATAGTCCCACTGTCTTCACTGAACTACACACATCCTTAACAATAGCCAAATGCAAACATCTTTATATCAGAGCTGTAACACCACCTTCATTTTGCTGATGTTCCCAAAGGACAGATATTAGTTTCAGTATTTTATCTTAAACGATGTTCTATTTTTAAGAGTACATATTTATTGCAATTGTTATTCATCTTTCCTTCTCTAGATATCCATATTTCCTTTTCTTAAAACATCTGAGATGGAAATCAATTATTACTTGAATCATTGATCTGACTATGATGTTAAGTAAAAAACAGAGAAAAGGAATCTGCAATAGAGATTTCCTCATATGTGGTACTCTTTTTCTAAAAAGAGTATAGATTTTACTCATTGCTAGTCTCACAATGTTGAATGCATTAATTAAATAGTTGGTTATTACATATTCAGGCATATTCATTATTGATAAGGTAATAAAACATAAAAGCTGACTGGTGAACGACTGAAGCTGCCCCAGTTAAAGGCATAGCTATTCATAATAATAATGAAATAAACCACCAACAACTAACATACAGAAACAATGTCTTCTCTCACGTATTTCATTTACTCACTGAGCTGATTTATTGCAGATTTAAAACACTGTAACAGAGAACAGAATTTGGCTCTTTTTAAGTCCACATCCCAGATAGTATAATCTGATGCAGCTCGATAAATGTCAATTTATACCTGCTGAGGATTAAGTCCATTATATTTTTCGAAAACCTTTCATCCTGTTTTACAACCTGCAACTGTAATATCAGGTACCTCTACACCTCTTCACAGCTGTGGCAATACACAATAGGAATTGAGAGAACACAGCATATAATTCTGTGTCTACACCAGCATAAATCCAGTATATTCCACCCACATCAGCTCAGCTTTGCTTTCTGGGTATCACTAAGGCAAGAATTATCATTCAATTCTCTCAGCAGTCTCATTTGAGGATAACTAGTGTTAAAGTACAGCGACTGCCTGTGTTTGTATTTGGAAAAGCGCATTGGCAGAGCATTTTTAGTGGCTGTAAAAGGTTAGAAACTTCTGGCTTTACATCTCTTCTAAAGGATGAACCACAAACCTTGCAGTGTTAAATGCTACCTGTAGGCACAGGCTCGCTACTCAGTTTATGGCACGGAAAAAATGCCCCCTACTGACTTAACAGCAGAAACACTTCCAGAGGCCAGGCCAAACTTTGTGTAGTATTGTGCTTTTCCTCTTAGGGGATTCCTGGGGCTGCCCTCACCAGCAGCTCAGCCTTTAATGCCTATAGGAAAACTGCAGGCACCACGAAGGGCTGTCTCCAGAGCATATGCCCTCCTCGCCGCTCTCCCCGGAGCAGGCAGGGCAGCTGAAGTACCCTGTTACCATAGAGTAAAGGCAGTTTGGGCACTGCCAGGCTGCCTGAGGGGTGACGGCTGCTGTTTCTGGGCTGCCTGTGGAGTTGTACAGAAGGAAAGCAGACAGATCTGGGAGGAGGCCAAGAGAGAGGGAGTCAGACAGGAGCACAGTCCAAGCTGGTAATTATGCTAACTATCCAAGCAGCAACCCAAATTTGCTTATGCGGAGTACATTTGAACATAAGTACAAAATCTAACTACTTCTTTCTGGTTTTAAAACCCTTGGTACTACAAGTTAAAATGAAGGTAGTTGAGCATACGGTATCTATTGTATCAATATACTGTAATTGTAGGTAAGGGCTCAGTAATATAATTAAATAAGTTAATTATTGAACTACCAAGATTTGGAGACCTTGCATGGAGACCAGCAGCTAATCTGAAACCATACTATAAAATATAATGTAACCAATGGATAGTATTTACCTTTTGAAGCTCTTATCTTTTCACTTGATTTATTACTATGCAAATGATGACATGCAAATTGTTTTTATCCAGGCAGGTCCCGACACACAACTCGATGTGAAATATCGAATACATGAAACCATCTGTGCCATTGAGGAAAACAAACTTTGGCAAGACTGTGATTACAAAGTACCCGCAGAGGCTGTAAGTATCTGTCCTCTTTAAAAGTCCTCTGTACAGAAACATCAGTATAATGACCAGGACTGTGGTTGCCTGGGGAAAAATACAGTAGAGAATTTAACTTTTCTAGCTGTATTGCTTTTGAGAGCATATATGACTAAAGTACAGTATAGAAACTTTACAACTCTAAAGTTAACCATTATAATTGTGAGTTCAGCGTTATAATCCTGAATATGTGCAGAAGGGAACATTTCAGAGCTTCAATATGAAGGTTCACAATAAATTCAACATAAGACACATCCACTGTGAGAGTGAGGGCTGTAAAATTTTCTGTTAATTATGCACAATGCAAACTTGCATAACCAAATTGACTTCAGATCTGCAAAAATACTGCAAAAATACCAACCAAAATACTGACATAGAAGCCACTGTGGCAGAAAATTTACCAGAGGGCTTTTAGGAGTGCAAAGCATGTCTGGCTCATGCTACTAGACAGTACCTAGAGGAGGTACAATCGGGGCATGTGGAGTGTGCAGGAACACTGCACATTTCCAGTGGAAGTCACTGTGATTGTGATTCACACAGTACACAATGCAAAGAAAGGGATGGTGGTGCTAATAACCATTTGAATCAATGTGAAATGCCATGGTCATTGCCGCATATCTTGTACCAGCAGAGAGGAAATTAGGTAAATACACAATTTATACTGACTTTATTTATGAGGATGTGTTCATTTCCATTATTCTGACTGTAAATTCTTTAGTTGATTAATAAGCACCAATCATGATACAAAGCAATCTTTCACATTATCTGCTCAGTTCATCCACTACTCTCCTCACAACCAACAAAACCAATCCTTTTCCAGTAACAAAACAGCAAATTAGACAGTACTACAAATGCACATATGAACTTGTTCCCCAAACTCAATTTGCAACTGTCAACTTTGTTCAATAGCTAGAGGAATATACAGTACTGTATTTTTCTTCACCAAGTTTAAGACAAATGTTGTTCTATGTTTTTGCAGAAAATGGGAGAATGCACAGCTCAAGTTCACATGAATAACGCTGAAAAAACGAGTAATGTTTCACAAGATTGCAAAATTTTTCCAGGTATGTAACTGTTTGGGGCAGTATTCAACACGGACGTTGACAAATAAGAATGGGGAAAATAAAATACTGAGACTTTAAGGTAATTTTAAAGGTAGGAGCTCCTTATCATTCTATTCAGACATTTATAAATAATCTTCCATAAGCAATTACATGTTAATGAAAAAATTACACTTCAATGTTATACACATATAGGCTAAGTCAGTGAAGCACTGGCAGTTTCTATCTAGTGTAATGAACACCAGTACATGCATGTGCGGTAAGTTTCTTCAAACACTGGAATTTACCAAGTTAAAATGAATCTGCTTAAGACCAAAAGCATGTCAGTGACTTAGAGACTAGATACAACTTGTCACACTTTAATTTTCTGTCCTTACTTATTCAAGTATAAAATTGTGCCGGAAATTATTAGAAAAAATTGTACCTTAATTCTCTCCAAACTAAAAATGACTAAATTATTTCTGTTAGAGTTTACCCAAGCAAATATTTACTCCAACCAAAAAAAAAAAAAAAATCATTTACAAAATAAAAATCTAGCAGTGATGTAATTATATAAGAGAGACTGTGGTATATTTTAGACCTTAACAATAAGCAGTACATTTCTTGCCTATAAGACATTGATACGTGACTATTATGTTCACAAAGTAATTTCCTTTATTAGAAAGAGATCACATTGTTTTAAAGCTTTGCAACCGAGATCTCTACGTGCCTATGCCTAGTGTTCATGTAAGACATACCCAAGCTAGCTTTAAAATATCCATGTAACTGATAGCAGGGAGCTATGTGCATATTAACTACAGAAATATTTACCGTGATTTCTGAGACGTTTGGCAGCTTATCTTTGCTTTTTGTTCCTAGTTACCTTGTTTAAAACTTAAATAGCTATACCCACAGCCAGTGTCCTTCTAGGAACTGCAGTACACACAAACTCCATGTTCTGCTACTGAATAAACGCTGCTTGGTTTAGAAGCATTTGTAGGGCAATGGTGACCTCTAGTTGCCAGTAAACGGTGTGTGAATCCCACAGAGAATGCATGAGAAATTTGCATTTGAATCTTTGCTTAGAAAGCTGAAAAAACATGCATAAATTAATGAACCACGTATTCAGCCCAAGAAGTTCATCTTTTGTTACCAAGTTGTAGCAACTCTGAAAAAAGAATACACATTTGTTCGGCACTTATGAAAATGCTGAGACCGTAGTCAGCTTAGAACTGGGTGTGCTATTGTTCTATTATCTCCTTTGTGATTACTCCCTGAAAACATGGTCACATTTTTCTGTAACATACCTATTTTTCATTACTGAGTCAAAATAAGTGATACTAGAAATACAAAGGGCCAGACTTTGTCCAAGTCCCCCTTGGAGACCTAAGACTAAATAGTATTGCTTACCTTGAGATATTCCAGATTTACAGAGGGGCCAAAATCAAATCCAAAGGATTCAAACAGAAAGAGGGAAACAATAGACCTTAACTGGTGAGAGATTTCCACACCATGTTAGTTACCATACTGTTCAGCCTTCTTGGTGGAAATGTTGGATCATATTGACCCTGGACTGGTTTCCTGGCTGGTGCAAGCTGGCATAACTCCATTAAAGCCAGTTTATGCCAGCTGAGAAACAGGCACACAAATTTTACTTCAATTCCACAGAGACCACATATTGTCCCACTTTCATTCTCAAGCTCACTGAATCATGAAATTAATTTATGTACTGAACTATAAAATTAATTTATGAAAATCCAATCCATGATTACTAGAAAGGAAAGAGAGTTAATAGGATTAGTAGTAGGAAACAGAAGTTTGAGCATCCCCGTCAAGCTTGTCCATCCACAGCCAATCCAGTTGGTAAAGCCTGAAGGTAACACCAAGTGGTAACTGGCAGCCAAAGTGACTAGCAGGGGGAGTTCAAACAACACACCAGTAAAGTTCAACTACAGTCCCTAAGGAACTCAAAATCAGAGCAGTTCATATAGATGAGCCAAAAGACTCCTGTCAAAGTCCTCATCCTGAAATATCACAAGGACAGTAAGCAGCTGCACACAGTGGGTGAGCTCTGAAAAATCTGAAGAACGTCTCCTTAGCTGTAGCCTCCACTGGTCCTTCCCTGACTGAATGAGGGATGACCTTTCCTTAGTGATGTCAAAACAATGTGCAAAGTTTTTCAGGGATTCAGTGACTCCTGAACTCACTCCTCTGAATGAAGTTTGCTGCTGAAACCATGCCTGGATCCAAATGTCATGTATGGCCCCCCTCACCACAAACCAAATCATGTTCCTAAATACAGTGAATGTCTTTGCATGTCCTGAAACTGAAATGTGGGTTTTGCTGATCATTCCAATTAAAAGCAGGAAAGGGTTTTGCTCATTGAACCTTTTCTCTCATTCCCAGATAAATTTTTCCCAGGAAAAATTAAAACCTGAGGCTGTTTTACATGAAGCCATATATTTTTGGTTTGTTTCTTTTCCAGCTACGCCAAAGATAACACTTACTGAGGGTATCTGTACTGGATGCTTCCATCCTATATCAAGTGACAGTTCAAAAGTGTCAGAAATTCTGAAACAAGCTATTCAAAAGTTTAACAAGCACAGTGCTGAACCTGCCCTTTTTAAGCTTATGGAAATAAAAGAAGCTAAAGTACAGGTTTGTGTATGATTTTTCTCTAAATTTTACCAAAAAAAAACCCCCAACACCCTAACTGGATACCTTGGTTGTTTTATGTACACGTTTCTGATTTTAAGGTGGCTTATATTTCATAATAAAAGCATACGAAATGCATATAGAGTATAGACCCTGTAAATAATTTTCTTCATTTATAGGGAATTGTAAACAGTTACCTACTGGATTTTCAGAGCTGTCAACTTTACAAACTGATAGTAAACATACTTTTTCTTTATATGCAGTTGTATCTAACCAATGTCGAGCACCAGCTTATTTGCACTCAGTGCTGACACAGGCATCTTGTGTCATCTCAGATGGTCTCGGGTATTCCACTTGGCTTCTCCCTGAAGCTCCAGCAGGAGCAGATCTCTCCTAGGTTCTGTGCCAAAACTGCCAGCCTGCACAGATGTCTCATATACTCTACAGCCTTTCAAACACCAGCAGGCATCTATGCTTTTGCAGTGCAATAGGACCCATATGGCAGCAGCTGCTATATGCTATAGGACGGGTAAATCCCATATAGGAAAAATGGGTAAGAAAAACAAAAAGCCAGCATGTCACTTGCTGAAAGATTTCTGCACACAGGAATATCTGCTTTGCAAGAAATGACTGCTCAGGTCACAGGAATTCTGTGTCATCTCGTATTGCACGCAACAATTATTTCCCTGTGAAAGGCTCTCCTATGGATTGGTGTGACGTTGCTAGAAAGTAAAGTTTCTTATTTGGTTGTTAACTGGTATATAACCTGACACCAAATACAGGCCCTTTTCTTTGAATGCCAAAAAGCATCTTCTGGTCTCATGTCAATTTGACCCATGATTTAATTCAGACTGTCCTCTTTTTGTTTACTGATGGCAACGATTCTCTTAGCTGAAAAACAAGCTTACACAACATTTAAGCGACATGACAAAACGCCACAGACAGACTGCAATCCAGTGCTGGAAAGAGAACCACCATGTCACTTCTGGCCAACAGAGACTAGTCAGAGCCCTCCGCTTTAACTGATCTGGGATGGAAAATTACTATATTTGATTCTTATTTCCCCTTTTTAATCCAATGCTACCTGTCCCAACACTGTGCCATGAAGAGATTTCACGGGTGAGAAGCAATAGCCATAGTGAAGAAAACTAAACTGCCTCCTGGAGAGAAAAGGAAAAAAATGGTCACAAATCTGGATAAACCAGCGGGCAGGGGAAGGTAAAGCCCAAGGCAGACACAATTATAGGTAGATGATAATTGCAGGATACTCAATAACAAATGATGCCAGCAGTATAATGTTACGTTATTCAGATACTGTTTTACTGTGTCCCACACTCAGGAACATAGGACTTGCCAAGCTGTACTAGCATAGTCATCTATCTCGACCAGCTTCCTGTCACTGGGAATCATAAGTAACAAATACTTTGAAGGAAAGTGCAAGAAAACAAGCAACGTGAGGCTGCAGGCTTGCCTGGGGATGTGGAATCCAAATACAAAGTGCACTTCTAATACATGCATGACTTAGATTACTTCTTGTATCACAAGGACAAGATTTTTTTCAGCTGTCCAAGAATACTCTATGGCTCAGTGACTGCAAAGTAATTTGATGGATGGCCTGCACTAGAAGAGTAGTTTTGCTTTCTTCAAACTTCCGAGTTTGTATTGGTTTACATAATATAGTTCCTAAATATCTGTTCCAGGTGGTAGCTGGATGGAATTACATAATTAAATATGAAATCCAGGAGACTAATTGCTCCAAAGACCAATTTGAAGATTTAACTCCAGAGTGCAAACCCACTTCTAGACATGTAAGTAATCTTCAAAATCTGTTTATCAAGAAAATATCATATTAACAAATAATCATTGAGATCTGACTCAAGAAAATATTTACAGTCTACCTTCACTTTGTGAATGAAGTTTAAATCCAGGCTTATAGATAACTGTCTACTTATGCAATTAGAACATCTTTGTCTGCTCGTGAATCAGTGACTAAGATGATCACTGAAATGTTTACAGATTACTCTATAGAATCTAAAGAGTTTCACCCAAATAATAAATCCCTTGAGAATTTCCCATCCAGATATTCAGTGAGTTATTCAGGTACAACCCAAAAAGCAATAATTAAAATAAGCACCATTTTTCCAGCTGAAGACTTATTTTGGAAAAAAAATAGTGACAGTCCAAATAAGAGAGGTTCAAAATAAATTTATTAACAAACACACATCCTCTAGCTAAGCAGTGCTGCAAAACCAGGTACTTCCTCGGCTTCTATGACCTGGAACAGAACTAACTGTACCAAAAATAGAGGGTTGCTCTCTCAACCAGCCTCCATGAACCAGCTCACCATGGGGTCAGAAAAATGCTTCTGCAAACACAAGGTAGAGGGCAGCAACTTGGAGTCATAATGAGCAGTGGTGGAGCCACATAATGGCAGGGAAGGAGTCACAGGAGTTCACTCCCATTTGTTTCAGTTGTTGTGGAAGTGCACTGCTGAGTGTGACATCCAAGAGCCTCTCATGTTCGAAAATTACTTCTTGAATGTCTCAAGAATGTTTTAGAATGTTTCAGAAGCATTGATCAAAAAAGGAAAGAATGACAACACTGCAATAAATAACAGGATAGTGAGAATCAGAGTAGCTGAAGCAAATCTCCCCGTTACCTATGCTTGCCCTTAAACCTTAAGCTCATTCACCTACCGCTTTGATAACTCAGGGTTTGTGGGACTGGATCTTTATCACTCATCCCCTGAACTGTTAAGCAGCCTTGCTAACAGATCATCAACAAGTATTATTAGAATATGATATTCCAAGAATATTCCATACCTTGGAACGACCAAATTCCATGAAAGTTGTTTCATACCTTTATTCAGCGCTGTACTATTCATTTTGAAATGAGAAGACTGGAATTGCACCCTGTATCCAATGTACACGTGAACCACAGAGCTATAGTGGGGCATAATATCATTCTCTCTAACCTGAATAAGCCTAGATTTTTTTATTATTATCATTTTTTCTAAACCACTACTAAGATTTTTTTATGGATGACATTTTCAAGCATCTGTCATAGCCCAAAGATATTGATCTTGAACTGTAACAATCTTCCTTTGTATTCTACAGTTGATTAGCTTCCTCTAGAGTCTTCGATAAGGGACTTCACTGAAATCTCTTTGAAAATCTACATATACTTTATCAACAGGTCTCTCTACCCACTTTTGTTGATGCATTTGAAGAACTTTGACAAATCTGCAAAATATGTCTTCTGTTTACAACAAAACCCCCAGTCCCTCCTTGATGTATTCATGCCCTCTAGTTCTTTCTTATTACCATTTCTAATCACTACAGACACCAGTTTTATGGGTCTATAATCTTTTTAAAACAACAGGATCAACATCGGCTTTCTTCGAGCCCTAAGATATCAAGGCAATGTTAAGCAAGTTATCTACCACAGTTCCTTTAGAACACCTGAGTAAATACAAGAAACTCAGGAATGTTTGGGTTTTTAATTACATAATCTTCATTTTGGCCTCTACAGTTTGAGACAGAAATTCCACTGAGTTTTCCATAAAATAGGATTCTGGCTTGTAAACCTCCCCGTTTCCTTCTGTAATGAACACATACAAGTAATTCATTCAGCTTCTTTTTCATGGGTTTTTTATGGTCTCTGAGTGGTCCTTTTGAACCTCTGCAGATTGTCTGTCAGGTTCCTTGCTCCCAGTAGATAGATGGATGGATGGATGAATGGATAGGAGGGAGGGAGGGAGGAAAGAAGGAAGGAAGGAAGTAACGAAGGAAGGAATTAGCAGTAGTATGCTTGACTTATTCTGTTAGCAGGAAT